CCTCCCTTAGGTCTCACGTGGATGAGAAGTTGTGCACCCTGAGGTTGGGATATGTAAGCCTGATGCAGATGATGCAAAGGACCTGAAGAAGGACAATCAGGCACATGATGGCAGTGACCCAGTCTCTAGGCCCCCTTTGGAAAAGTGACAGAATCCTGGGGTGATAGCTACTATAATAAAGAGAATGGTGATCCAAATTGCTTCCCTGGGGTTCCTGCTTGAAGTTGGGTTGGGGAAGAACAAAAAGAGTTGCATTGTCACTTTGGTTTGGGACAGGTAGAATGAAAAAAGGAGCTACGCCTTTCACTTTGGGGTCAAGAAGAGAGAGCCATGTTGTAAAGTGAACTGTGGCTCCCCAAGACCTCCAGGCATAGTGTCCCCCTGCGGCCCATGAGGGAAACATGAGGCACAGGCTTCAGAAAAGCCAGAGGTAAAGGTGGATGGAGAGGAAAATGAGCATTGCAAGACATTGCAAGTGGTAAGAGATTACCACTGTCTGGGTCAGAGGGAGGGAATGGGCAGGACCACGGTTCCAGAAATCCAACTCCTGGTTACAAACACAGAAGGACTTCTCTGTGGGGATTTGGTGACCTTTGAAGTTCCAGCGTCATCAACAAGTTTAACACCTGTCAATGTTTAGATAGCGCTAACTTATGTAGAGCACCATCATTCTCAAAAATGAAAGGAGGTGGGGGAGAACAATTAGTGAATCAGTGAATAGGGATGATAAACTTGCAAATTGCAATCTTTTGATGGTTACCAAGGGAACAGTTTCCTGACTGGGCTAAAGTCCATCACAGAGACAACCCTCATGAGTCCTGACCAATGAGGGCTGGAGGTAGCAGGTGAGCAGAGGAACAAGTGATGGTCAGACTTTTGAATGAAGGAAGCCAACCCACACCCTCCTCCTCATAGCTGACCTGCTGGATCAGAGCCTCTGGGAAGCCAGGGCCTCAGGTCTGTCTGACCATCTAACTACTATGTGAGAAAATTACAGATTTCCCCTTAAGAACAAAAGACACCAACGTTGGATTAAGCTGCTATTTCTTAGATTAAGCTGCAGTTAGTGGGAAGGGATATTTAATGTACAAGAGTCCTTCCTGATCCGAGGGGGATCTATTCCAAAACTCTCAGGAGATACCTAGAACCGTGGATCATACCAAACCCTATATAGACATTTTTTTCCCTATATATACCTATGATAAAGTTTGATTTCAAAACTAGGCACATGAGAGATTAGCAATAATAACTAATAACAAAATAGAAGAAGTATAATGATACAAAGTAATAAAAGTTATTTCAAACTTATGAATTTTTATTTCCAGAATTTTCCATTCAATACTTTTGGATCCCCATTGACCTCAGATAATTGAAACTGTAGAAAGCAAAACCCTGGATGAAGTTTTGCTTTCAATAGTTTATCTAGGTAGGCAATTTTTTGTTTGAATTTGTTTTAAATTAAAATGTGTTTTATTTTAAAATAATGTCAGACTTACAGAAAAGTTGTGAGTACCCAGTACAAAGAATTCCTGCATACCCTCTACTATGTTCAGCCAGTTTCACTTACCTACATTTGTTTTACCATCCCCTGTTCGACCTTTCATCCACATATGTAAAATCTGATCATGTCCTACCCCCAAATCCATTCAGTGATTGTTTCATAAAATCAAGGACATTTTCTTATATAGCCAGTGTACAATGAAATAACATAGATACAATACTATTATCTCATCAACCAACCTGATTCCAATTTCAGCAATTATCTACTGGTGTTCCTTGTAACTGAAAGGGGAGAGAAATCCCCTCAGGTCCAGAACCACACATCACATTCAGCTGCTGTCTCTCTTTCATCTCCTTTAGTCTGAAAGCCTCTCAGTACTTCTTCAACTTTCATGACTTTAACATTTTTGAAGCATACAGACTATTTCTTTTGAAGAATGTCTCTCGATTTGAGTTTAATTGAAGTTTCACAAAAATTGTAAGTTCAGGCTCTGCATTTTGGGCAGGAATAGCCTAGAAGTGATGCTATGTTCTTGACACATCATATCAAGAGGCACAAGCTGTCAATTGTCCAGCTACTAGTGTTGATGTTGACTGTTCAAGTAACATGGCATCTGCCAGGTTTCTCACCCATAAAATTACTATCTTCCCGCTGCTGTAATGGATAAATATCTTCTGGGAAGTTACTTTAATTATATATTTTTGTGTACATACATTTGTGGTGTATGCATGCTTTTCCCATTTCTCATAACCCACTAGTTTTAATATCCATTGGTGAGTCTTGCCTGAAACAATTTTAACTGTGTGCGTGCCAAGTTTTGATTTCCTAATTTAATAATCCTTTTAACAATTATTAGTTGGCATTATATTGTAAGGAAGAACTTTCCCTACTCCTAATTCATTCTTTTATTCATTTGAAATATCTCATGGATTCTTATCTTATTCTTTGGCTATTGTGATCAATATTAATTTTAATGTTCAAATTGTCCCAGATTTAGCCAGTGGAACCCCTTTCAACTTGGTTACTGTGGGTTGTAACATATCCTACCATTCTTTGAGAAGTTTCTTTCTTTCAACACAGGAAGATATTAGAGCCAGAGCCTTAAAATTAGCTATTTCTCTAAGGAGTCCTAATTCTAAATATTTAGAAACGAAGATCTGAATGTCAAATGCTAGGTATGCTCAGTGTATGTGTGTATGTGCAGAGAAGTGTTCATCTAAAGTAGAGATATATGGCTAGATTCACTTACTTTTGTTTATGATCCATTTTTGGTTTCTATATTTGATTTTTATGTATTTTTATTTTGAACATATGAAACATGATTCTAAATGTCAAAGCCACAGAGAAAAAAGTCTACTTATGAGAATGCCACTCCCCCCGCATCTCTTCTATCCTGTTCCCCGGTCCTTGGCACCCTGTTCCCAACTACCACCATCCATTGTAACAATCTCAGTAGTTTCTGGTTTATCCTTCTCAGGTTTTATTTTGCAGAAAAGAACAGACACATGTATATTTTCTCCTTGTTTTCTACCTAAAAGATACATACTTATAGATGCTAGTTTTCTTTTTCCACTGAGCAAAATATACACGTAATCACTCCATATCAGTTCAGAGAGATGCTCCTGGTCCTTTTTACAGCCACCTAATACCCTACTGTGTGGATTTATTTAGCCACCCTCCGAAGCTTGGGTATACAGTTTACCTCCAACATGTTTCACTTACACCTAGTACTGCAAAGAATTAGATATTGCCAAATACCAACTGAGATTGTGCCATTTTACATCCTCCCATCAAGAGACTGCCAGTCTCCACATTCCTCCCATGGAATGGTGCTGTTGTGTTTTTTGTTTTGTTTTGTTTTGTTTACTTTTGCCAATTTAAATGAAAAATTATCTCAGTTCACTTTTAATTTTCATTTCTCTGTGAATGAGGTCAAATGTTTTTTTTATATGTGTAAGCCTAGTGTGTCTTTTGCCTGCTTTTCTATTGCATACAATTTTTTTAAGAGAGAGAGAGAATTTTTTAATATTTATATTTTAGTTTTCGGTGGACACACATCTTCATTTCATTTTTATGTGGTGCTGAGGATCCAACCCAGCGCCCCGCACATGCCAGGCGAGCGCACTACTGCTTGAGCCACATCCCCAGCCTATGTACATGCTTTTTAAAACCTTTGTTCTCAATTTTATTTTCCCTTCAGTTTACCAGGAAGAAACCAGAAGTAATACATTTGCTTAACATTTAATTTTTTAACAATAGGATCTTATTCACAATAATTCTTACTTGTTGATAGTCATGTGTTTGTTCACTGTGAAGTTTTGATCAAGCTGCATACTTAGGATACACTTCTAAAGCTTATTTTTAAAAGTCTTAGCCAATTTAATTCTGTGCCAGATTACCAGTGTCTTTCCTGCCTAATACCTAAAGGAAACCTGACGATTCCCAGGTACCCCTGACATGGGACTAAGGAAAAAGCAGCCTTCTTAGGAAGGCAACCCAGGAGTCCATACTTCCTGGGTAAGCCCACAACATAGCACACACCTGGGTCCCTAAGATCTCACCAAAACGTGGTAGCCCTGGATAACTACAGGGAAGGATCTACCCAATGAACAGACATAAGAATCCTGGTTTAAAGTTTTTTTGCCTGCAAATCCCTTCTTTGTGACCCAATAGGTGATGGCTATCTGTTCTAATCCTCATTTTCTCCATAATTTTGGGGGGGGGCAATAGAAAGAAATAGGTGAGATCTAATCATCAGACATTTTGAACAGATTCACAAGGAACTGGATTTTTCTACCATTTTCTGTGAACTGTCCCTTGAAAAGCTATGATTGGGTGAGGTTCTTTCCCTCCTCTCCTCAGCCTCTGCAATCTCTTTTTCATGGGAAAGACAGGTAATTCCAATAAAGCTGTCATGGGGTAGGGAGCACACAAATGGAGGAATTTGTTAAAGTGACTGGTCTACTTGTTGTATCTTTCAGAACAGTCCAGAAAGGAGAGGGAGGTCATGCCACCTGGATGGTGATCACACTGCCACTGGCATGAGGAGGACCCAGCCTCTCACGTGGAACAGACTGGGGAGTCTCTGAGCAGCTGAGCTGGGGAGGAGGTGTGGGACAGGTGGCGATAGTAGCTGTTGGAATGAAGGCTAAACAGCGTTGGTGGAAGTCAGAGATAAACTTCTATCCTCCTCCTCCACTTTCCACAGAACAAGCAGATGAGACGGGCTATTTCAAGGAGTTTCCAAGAATGGCATTTGATAGATATCACGATCTTCCAAGGGAAGCTGGGCACAAGGCATCAGTTTCTGCTCCGGTCCTCAGCCGTGGTGCCCTGAGACGTGCACAGGACTCCACGTCCTGGGTCTTGCACGCTGAGATCACAGTAAACACACACACACTCACCTCCTTTCCTTCACCCTCTCCCACATTGCACAGCACTGGGGGTAGATGCCATTCCAGTTGTGAGAATTGGTGTCCCAAATTCAGACTCTGCAGGCTCACTGGACATCGGTCTGATCCCAGTTTCTGATGATGTACTGTAATTCCCACGTTTGCGTGGTACACTTCTGCAGCACAAGCATGTAGGCCCCAGAAGAGTGCTTCCTGATCTCCAGACACCGTTTGGTGTCCCTGTTTACGATGGCTCTTCCCTGGGTGGGAGGAGGGAGAGTCAAGGTGATAGCAATAGCACAGCATCCCCCTGGGGGCCTGCTCTCTGTGCTGTGGTCTGCCAGGGTCCCTGGATCCTTTGCAAGTTCCCCAGCGAGAATGAGAAGCAATGTGTGGAATTCAACCCCCCAGTGCTTTCTACATCAGCCCTGCAGCCAGCTAAGCCCACAGAGCTGAGTTCATAAGCACCGTGGGCCTCCCTGGAGACTGAAGCAGGAGGCCAATGCTGACTGGCCTAACACCATGACATTTTGTTTTCAAATTTGTCCCTCTTTTCTGTCTCTCCAGACCTGAGCCCATGGAACTCCTCAGGCTCGCCCTTCCCTTGCCTTCCTCTCCCTCTTCAGCAGTGCTCCGTCAAGGACCTGGAGCAGAAGCCACATGGGAGGAACTCAATTTACCTTCTCCACCATTCTGGGTGGCAGCTTCCTGCCTCTTGTCATGGGGGCTTCAACAAAGTTCACTACTGGGAACACTGTGGGCATCAGTGCTCAATAGTCAGGATTGATTCCCTCATATACAAACCAGGTGGCCTTGGGCACCTAACCTCCCCAAGTCTCGATTTCTTCATCTGTAAAATAGGTTTTGAATAAATTTTAAAGTTTAAAATTTGTGTTAATATTGATTGAGCATCTGGTGCCTGACATATGAAAGATGCACAACGAATCTGAGACCATCTTGGCCCTGTCCCTTCTCATAGGGAAAGAGGAAGAAGGGTCCTCCTCCATGCTCCTGTGTTCTCCCTCTGATCTCCACCCCTTGCCCCACCTCTTTCTGAACTCTACATCTCAGCACTTGGCAATCTTGCCATCTGTCCAAGCTGAGCCTGCATCTGCTCCTAACCCTCTCACCCCCACGCCCCTCTCACCCCCATGCCCCTCTCCAATCTTTGCTAGAATCACTCCCTAGTCTGTGTTAGTTCCTGGGTCAGGGGCTTCTTCCTTTACTCACCACCTTCTGCTACCATCGTCAGAGTTCATGCATTCGATGAGAGGTCCATTGAGTCACCTGATCACACTGTCCCTCAGATACACCGTCACCAGGGCTTTTAACAGCAAGGGCTGCAGCTCTAAGATCTCCAAACCTCTGCCTCCCTGCTTCTCACCTCTCACAATCACAAACTACTTCCAACAACCCCTGGTCCCCCCAAACCATCTGACCTATACTCCCTGGGTGCCCCTCCACCCCCCATTCTCAGGGCATTCATCCAGTGTCGGCCACGCAGGGATCCTCTCCAGGTTCTGGAACTTCTCCACCACCCACCACTCCCTGCTCTCAGCCCCTGACCACAGAGGGCTTCTGGACAGAGTCCACCAACCTGGCTCAACAAGGCTTGGCTTGCCCCTCTGTGTCACTCTTCTAGGCCTCTACAGCACATTCTGTCCCTGGATTCCCACCCTGACACTTTCAGCAAATGTCCAGAAGATCACACTCCATTTATATCTTCACCTGAAAACCACCAGTGATCCACAGGATGCTGCCTCATGGATGATCTCAAAGGAGCTGCCTGTCCCTGTCTCGCCAGTCAGTAGCCTGTTTGTGCTCTGAATCAGCCACCCTTGATGCTAGCAAACATTCTTCCAGTCTAACACCCTTATTTTATTTCTCCCTCTCTGCACATTTATTTTCTACTAGCTTTAAAGATGTCATAATGTTAGAAGGAGGGGAGGATCACAAACTCAAAGCTCTCCTGCTTAACTAATATTTAGTGGTTTTGCCCCTTTTAAAAAATAAAAGTCATCAGACTAGAGTGAGACATGCATACCTATGTTTATAGCAGCACAATTCACAATAGCCAAACTATGGAACCAGCGTAGGTATCTACCAATGGATAAAGAAAATGTGGTATATACACAAAATGGAGATTTATTCAGCCATTAAGAAGAATGAAATTTTGTCATTTGCAAGAAAATGAATAGAACTTGAGAACACCATGTTAAGCTAAATAAATGAAACTCAGAAAGCCAAGGGCCATATATTGTCTCTCCTATGTGGAAGATAGAGAGGAAAAAGGTACAAAAAACTTTGGGTGGGGGAGTCTCATGAAAAAGAGAGATCAGGAGTAGAGGAGAGGGACCACAGGGAAGGAAAGGGGAACTACTAGGGAGTGATATTGGCCAAATTCCATTGTTATATTGTGTGCATGTAGGAATACATAACAACAAGTCCCACCATTTCATACAACCATAATGCACCAATAAAAAACATGAAAAAAAAAAGAGAATCAAATACCTAAAAAAACAGGAAGTAACACACAGTGGTTGAGATTCTCTGCTTCAGTGCTGCACAATTACTATGCTGTGTAATCTTGGGGAAATGGTTTGACTTCTCTGTGCCATAGTTTCATCATGGTTCAGACAGAGCTGTTAAGTAACACTTCTCTTATAAAAGACCTTTGTCTTACAAGGACTAAATTAGATAATGTTTAACCCAATGCCTGGTTTATAACATACACTCAATAAGTCTTGGCTATTATACTGTGATGTTTTAAACAAACTCAGTGGCCTATTTTCTATTTTCTGTCGACTTCCATGTGACTTGGGCTCTGACAGCACTCCCTACAGCACCTGGCTTCTTTTAATTGTGTTCATCTGGATCTTATGCACTTTTGCTCTTGTGTTTATTTAGGAACAGTGCGGCCAGAATTTTTAACGGATTTCTGTTTTTGTTTCATTTTCACTTTTACAAAAGGAATATATGCTTATTTTAATGGAAAAATGATATTTTTAAAAATCAGAACCACTCATGATGGTATAACACTGTACTTATGGTTTTTATATACTTCTTTTAAATTAATATTATGTATATTTTCTCATTTCATCATTTTTAAATAACTTTTGGAATACCATTTGAATATATATATATGATATTCACTCTAGCAATGAGCAAAAATCCCTACTACTACTGGATATTTCATTTTTCCTGACATTTTGCTATGAAAATATCAGGATATATTCTACATTAATCATGGCCTTCAATCTATATTATTTCTTAAGATATTATCCTGAAAACTAATCAGTTCCTTTAAAAGGGTCATAGTTAGTTGTTGGTGTCAGAGCTCTTCCTATTGTGTTAGTCAACTTTCCATCACTATTGATAAAATACCCAAGGTAAACAACTCAACAGGAAGAAAGAATTTGGGCTCATGGTTTTAGAGACTTCAGTTTGCGATTGCTTGACTCTGTTGTTTCTGGGCCTGGGATGAGGAAAAAGATCACAGCAGGGAGCACATGGTGGAGAAACGATGCTCACCTTACAGTGGTCAGAAGGCCAAGAGAGAGGAAATTCCAGGGATAAGATATAGTCCCCAAGGTCATGCCCCAAGGACCCACTCCTTTCAACTAGGTTCCATTTCCTAAATTTCCATAATCTCCCAATAGCCCATCAAAGTATAACTTCATCAATGGCTTAATCTACTAATGTAATCAGAGCCCTCTTTATCTAATAACTTCCCAAAAGGCCTACCTCTGAACATTGATGCATTGGGAACCAAGACCTCAACATAAGCCTGGGGGGCCTTTCAGATTCAAATATAACACCTGTGTGCAGGCAAATTGCTATTGGAGCCTTTTTGGTTCACTCGCCCACCAGCAAGGTGTGAGCACCCACAGAGCTCTCTTTCTTAGTTGTTTCTGGAACCCTTAGGATGGGTGTTCTCCTCCTCCTCACTACCAACTCTAGAGATCCTCTTTGTGTCATGGGCTGTCACTTTGTCTTGACCTTCACCCAAATACCCACTGTTTCAACTGCATCACTACTGCTAATGCTAGACTCCTCCTATCAAAGTCCATGTGGCTGTAAACACCCCATCTCTGAATTAGGTCCCTTCTCAGTCACTGGCTTTGGCTCCCTTGTGCTTCACAGAGAGTATAACCTTCTCTGGTTGATTTAAAACACAGAATCATGACATTGGGAGAAAATAGAGGGATTATCTAGTCTGATCACCCTCTCAATTCCAGAAAATATTTTTAGTGACTTTTTTTTTCATGCTCAGGGTTTATTTTCAAGATTCCCACACATAAACAAGAAATAATACAGAGATTCTGCTTATCCTTTACTTTGGTAACTTTTTAGTAGAATGAATGTGTAAGTTGTGCTACAAAGTAAATAGAGCACAAGAGAGTCCCAACATTTAGCCAAATATTGTTTTCATATCTAAAAGGATTTTGATTCAGATATAAAATGGATAGGAAGGACTAGATAGGAATTGACTCAAGATGAACCAAAAATTTGATAATATACCAGGAACCACCTGATCACCTCCCTCTTAACTTTTGAATTGCTTGGCATAATGGTCATAAAAAGGGACCCAGCCTGGACATCGGAGCATCAGGCAGCCCATCCCTGGATGTGCTACAGAGCAGACCTCACACTCAGCCCAAATTTCCATTCTATCATCGGCCTCAGTCAGCTGAGAAGGCAACCTTCCAAATTTCTCTTAGGAAGACAACTTTTTAAATATTTGGGATGCATAATTATCTCTTTTGGATAAATAGTGAGGCTGATCTGGCTACGACACATCTGTCACCGCACTGACTCAACTGATCTTGCTGAATAAGCAGATGTCCCCTTCCTCCTCTTTTCCATGCCTAGTGCATTCCTCCTAGAGCTGCATGCTCTGTTGAAGAGGACACCCTTCCCCAATAGAGGAGGACTGCTCTTTGGTCAAGGATATATGAGTAGCTGCACTCCCCTGCTAGAACCTCCAAAGGAGCTCTTAGGAATAAATGGTATTTTTAATTCCTAGGAGATTTGGGATAAAGTATAGATACTAAGGGAATCAACAGGTAATATTTGCTAAAGATTCTATGTGTATTTGCTATTTTTAAGTACTTGTTATATTTATGGAAAATTAGCATCTTACAAATTAACCTTTTGATAGCAATTTTAAAATGTGAGCAAATTAAATTTCTGATTGCATGTTGAGATTTCACTGACTTTATAAGCACTTTGGAAAACATTTAAGAGACTCAGGTTCACTAAATATAAAGTCAGATAATCAAAGTCCTTAAGAAAGTAAATTTAATGTTTTAAATTAACTTTATCAATTTAATATATTATGTATTTATGTATTTAAATTTATAAAATATAGTCTATAACAGTTAAATAAATTTATTAAATTGTAAAAAAAATGCCCTATTAAAATAATTAAAACTTGCTAGGTTTAAAGCACTAAGATCATTAAAGACATCAAAAACTCACATTTAGCACACTAGGCTTACCAGATACTCAGATGTGCTGTGCTTGGTGACTACAATTGACAGAGAACTCAGCACTGTGTGAGGCAGCCTGTCCTGTTCAGGACAGCTAAGCTGCTGGGCCATCAAGAAGTACCCCCTTTGCCCACAAGAAGTCCAGTTTGGGACTATTGGGAGAAGGTAGAACCTTTAAGAGAAGAGTCTAGCAGAAGGTCTTTAGGTGATTGAGGATGTGCCTTCAAGGGGGACTGCAAGACCCCAGTCTCTTCCTCTTTCTCTTTTGCTTCTTGACTTATGATATAAGTGAGGTCTACTCTACCACATGCTCCCACCCTGATGCACTGCCTCACTACAGACCCAAATCAACTGGACCAATCAATCATGGACTGGAATCTTCAAAACTGTGACTCAGACTAAACCTCTCTTTATAGGTTGATTAGCTCAGGTACTTGATGTAAATGACAGAAAATTGACTAGCATGCTCCTTTTCCTTAGGAAAACAGCATCCACTTTTCACTAAGCTCAGCAATCCTAAGTTTGCCAATCTTTCACTTGTTCCACAACCACTTATTGAGAGCCTGAAATGTTCCAGATGTTATAACAGATGCTAAAGAGAAAACAACAAGCAAAATCCAGACCCTGCCCTCCAGTTCTCAGATGAGTGGTGAAAAGAAACAGGAGAGCAGGCAGGTCGAAGAGATAATGAGACAAGGGGGGCCTGAGAGCACAGAAGAACCCAGCCTATTCCTGCAAGGTCATGGAAGGCTTCCCAGAGAGAGGCCCTGTCTGAAGCCAGGGATGCACTCTGAGGTTGTTCTGGTGAAGAGGTTGGAGGAGAGGGAATGACATCTGAAATGGGCCTAAGGTAGGGGGAGCATGCCTCTTGCTGCAGTGCCTGCAGTTCCATGTCATTGTAGCTTAGATGGAGGTGACAGAGACTGGGAAGGCATTACCTCTCCTCCTCCCTCTAATTGATATTGTTCAGGGAGACTGGAATGAAAAACCTCTCTGAAATCATAAGGAAATTTTTGCACATAGGTGCCTATACATTTAAACTGCATAGCTAGCAGCAAATCATCACAGAGGTTATTTGCCTTAAAAAGATAGGACTTGCCGAAATAGATTGTCCATGATTTTTAAAATGCAGCACCTGAAGTTTCTGCAGTACCAATCACAAACCATAACCTCCTTCCAACAGGACATCACAGACTAATGAAAGTGGCCAAAGAACACAAAAATTTTTGAAGCAGCCCCAACGTGGGGCAGGTTCACACGTAGACTGTGGTCAGCCGAGTCCTTCATGTCATTGACACATGAACTCTGCTAGATTCCCGCTATCCTGTTCTTGGCCATTTAATATTGAAGTGAAAGCCAGGACTTTTGCAGTAGTCCCTGTGGGATTTCAGCCTAGTCCTCTATACTTTGACGATCATTAAAAATAAAACTAATTGCAATGACTAATATTTATCAAAAACTCCTATGTGCCAGGCACCATGCCAAATGCTTCACAATCTTCTCTCATTTAATCCTCCCGATAGGCCCACAAAGTAAATACTATTATCTTGGTTTTATAGATGAGGAAACTGAGCATCAGAGATAGTCAGAAACTTGCTAAAGATGACTAAGCCAGGATTTGAGCCCAAACTCTATGAAGCTATGGCAGCTCCAGTACTTCTCCTCCTCATCCACCCCTGCCTTAGTCAAGAGACTCTGTGGTTCACACCTGATTCCCAGCTTCCAGTCTTTCCCTTACCTGCTGCCACAAAAATTAATCTAAAAATGTTATCAAATCAAGTCAAACCTCTCAAACTATATTAGTATCTACCTCCCCTTTAAAAGGCATATGACTCACCTGTTTAAAATCCCAATGTATGTGTAGTCCACTTTGGGCTGCCATAGAACATCGCTCCAAAGTAGGCTTTTCCCCATGGCCAGGATCTGTGAGGCAGCGGTCATCCGAGTTTGCCTCTGCAATCAGATTTCCCATGTAGAATTCCCCAGTTTGGTGGTAGTAGATATTCTGGAAGATAGCAAGGGACCTGCCATGGGCACACTCAGCAGGGAGGCCTCAGCTGTGTAGAGGCCCAAGAATGGCTCTCGTGCCCTGGCTGCTCCGGGATCATGAATTTCCTGGCCACATGGAGTAACTGCACCCTTCCTCCCCTATGACAGTAGATTCCAGGGAGAAGGCCAGCCTAGGGATGGGCACTTGGCCCACCCTCTTTCCTACAATGTCTCCAAAAGAATCATGGTGTGTGTGGATGAGGGAGCTGATCTTTGAAGAAAGCTTCTCCCAAAGCTTCTCAAGCTGAACTTGAGAAGCTGTCACTGTAAATCCCAGTATGAGCCTGTTATCGAGAAGCCTTTCAAATTTCTCATCTGATAATGCCTTGCTCAGTGAGCTTGGACAAATAGGTTATTTTCATGCCTCAGGTTTTTCATCTCCTAAGTGGGAATGATATCCACCAGGAATACCTCAAAACTTCCCTGTAATGGCAACATGCAAAGTAAGATGACAGATTTGAATATTTTCCATTTATAAAAAGTCCCCTGGCTGAACTTAGTGCCAACCCACTTCTATGCCACAGAGGAACTTCCATTCCACCTCGCTTTTCTTTAGCCCTCTGCTTCCTTCTTTGCAAGAGAAGAACAGGTGGCTTCACCCATCAAATTTCTGGGATGCACAGGAGAAAGGAAGATGGTGGAACAGTGGGAAGAGAGAAAAAAAGGGATTAGAGGCAATTGCCAATGAAAATATCCCCTGGAGAATGACCACAACAGAGCAAAGCCTTTCTACATGTCCCTGAAACTGAGCTGTCTTGCTGTGACCTTTTGAATGAACCAGAAAGTGCTTACTTAAAGACTAGAGATATAGTTCAGTGGTACAATGATTGCCTAGCATGCAAGAGGCCTTGGCTTGGGTTCCATCCCCAACAGCAACAACAAAACCTACTTAAAAGTGTAGGTTTGAGTTTTACCCTTATCTGTCTTCCAGAATACTCTGCTCTTGTGTCCCCATCGTCTAACACCAAGTTTAAATCTGACAGAGGTTACCAGGAGCTGAGCCAAAACAGACTCACCCTGTCAGGCAGGGAAGACGATGGAAGTTACCTGTGGACTGAATTCATGGCAGGGATGCATGATGGGGGTATTGCCTGGCACAGGTCCTTGATCCAGGCAGACATTCTTATCCAATGAGTTTTTCATCTGAAGGGAAAAAAACATGAATGCAGTTTTGGAAAGACAATCCCAAAGCCTCCCAAGGACCTGCATTTTCCTTAAAACACCAAGAAGCCAACAGACAAAAGGAGCAGAAACTGGGATCCTGGCAGCCACGTGCTGAGCACTGGGAAACAAGCCAGAGCTTAGGTGAGGTGCAGCTATGCTGCCCGTGTTTTGGGAACATTGCCCCCTGCAGACCCTCACAGCAGACACCAAAGCACCCATCCTGCTACAGACATGAGTTGGCTAAGCAACCAACAGTGTCAGGCAAGGGCTGCAGTTTGCAAAAGGACTAGAGGCAGCAGAAGGAAAGAAACAGGGATTGGGGAATAGAGGAAAGGAAGTCTCTCAAGAGCAGAGCGCTGAGGAAGGCATGGGGCAGGAAGGGGACACAGGCAGGAAAACCCTTGGCCGGGTAACCATATGGTTTGGGTTTCACTGTCTTCCACAAACAAGCATTCAAAGTCTAAATCCATTTCACAGCACGTACTCTTCCATAGCCCACAATGTTGAGGGTCGGCTTCAGGAGTGGATAAACATTTTTCAGGTACCAGTCAAAAGGTTTACATTTCAATTTCTTCCGGAGTGCAATTCTGGAAGAAATGTCTCCATAATCAATTCCAGAGTTCTGAAATAAAACACCAAGATTTCTATGCTTTGGTTCACAAGAACTTCCTGATTCCACTAATAGGTATGGACCTTGCATGAAGGGACTAAGGATTTTCCTGGCAGCCTAGAGGTAACCTTGATATTTTATTTTCCAGGGAATGCAGAAAAGCAACCTTGGGGACCTCTACTGGTTTTCAAAGACATTTGCAAACTCGGCATGGAGCAGGAAGGGACACCACAGTTCATTTCTCATTATAGCAAGCCGAAGCAGACTGTTCCTGTTTGAGATGATATTCACATCAATAAGGTATAAAATATTCCTCACCATGGCAGAAAAGGCTTTTTAAAAGTTCTGACACCAAGATTTGGAGACTTTCTAAAAATGAATACTAACTAGAAAAAAAAAAAAAGCAAAAATGCAGAACCCATATGGGGTATCTGCCTTCTTTCCAGAATGTTCCTATGTGGTTCATTTCAAATCACCTTTGCAGAAGTTCATTTGTTTAGGGACAGTTCCTTTTATAGCTTGGCACAGTCACAGTAGGACTCTGTAGAGATAAAAGAGCTAAGGATATCCTGGAGGGTTCCTGTTTTCCCATCATACCTTGGCATATAGGGGCACCAGAAGAAATTTGTATGAACAATGAGCTAACTGTAGATTATTGGTATCTTGAGTTGTTAAAGGAATGATTTTCATGACTTTGAATCCTAAAGAAGGCTCGGGTTTCTCTGCCTATTTTTACTTTCTCCAGAAATAGTGCCCCCATAGTTTAACCTGACCCCCAACTCCACGTTGTCTTCAGACTTTTCCTCCTAGATCTGTTCCACAGTCTCCCAAACATCCTGACCCTCTGATTTCTGGAGGTTACTTTAGGATCCACTGTGATGGAAAGAGAGTCTTCCTCTTCTCTCTGTGCCAAACACAGCTAACCATGCTTCAACCCAGAGCCAGCACTTAGGGACAGAAGACAGCATATCACACCAACCTCAGGTGGCCAGGGCAAAAGATGCAGGCTCAGCCAAGGTTGTCCTCATGTATGTGCATCTAACAAGATAAAAGGAGCTCCTCTCACCACCCCATGTATCACTTGCTATGTTTATGTCCTCTTAACCAATATATGATATCCAATTTTACTCTGCTAGACTGCCCCAGTATAGAAGATGGATGTAGAACACAGAATCTAAAAGCCAGATTTTCTTGCTTTGAGTCATACGTGGTCTAATTACTGTCTGTTCCTGTGTTAAACAAGTTTCTTCCAATTCTCTGTGCCTTGGCTTCCTATTCTGTGAAACATATCCCATAGGTGGTTCTGATGGTTAATGGGTCAGTATATAAAACACTGTCTAGAACATGATATTGTCACACAAATGTTAAGTGTCACTATTATTATACCTTGGGGACTTACTCTAATTCTTTATGGTCACAACCGCATATTTGTTCTGTTCTTTCTCATTCTTCACTGCCACCACCACTTCCTGCTGCTAGCTTTCCCCCTGATGCTGTTCAGTCCATGACAAACCTGGAGAGGTATGTTCCAGGCCAGGTAGACCATCTGTTTGTATTCATCCATCCAGATTTCGGCCACTCGCAGAGCATTGCGCTTCAAGAAAATGCTTAGATCCATCGCATAGGGCTTGTGGTATCTCTCTAGATGCGCCACCCGGGAGCAGGGTAAGATCTCAATCTTCCCTCCACACTGCCACACCTGCAAGAGAAGGAACAATCTCCTGCATAGAATGGGCCCTGCGGTCAATGATTGCATGACTTGATGACTCACAAGAAGGCCCCATTTGGGGACCATTTTTTAATGACTCTAAGTTTGGTCTTCCTACCCCAGACTTTTTATTCAAATCGTCCATTCTTAGAGTCTACCAGACTGCTCCCCCTCGGTTGTCAAACAGTCCTTGAACTGAACTCCTACTTCCTTCACAAAGTCCTCCCTGAAAGGACAAAAGAGGCTGCCTCTGCTCCCTTATCACCAAGGAAAGTGGCCAAGTCCTGAGAGGCACCATGCCCTCTCACTAGACTTAATTTCCCATGACCCTTCTCTGTCTCAAGCCAGACACAGGGCAATAGGCAGACAGAAGCTGAGGTGGCTTCTATGATTCTTCCTCTTGGTGCTCACCTTTTACCTAATCCCCTCCCCTTGAGTGTGGCCTCCCTCCTTTTTCTTTCTTTCTTCCTTTTTTATTTTTTATTTTTACTTATTTATATACTATACCAGGAATTGAATTCCGGGAGCCACATTGAATTCACTGAGCCACATCCCCAGCTCTTTTTTTTTTTTTTTTTTTTTTTTTTAATTTTGAGACAGGTTCTCACTAAGTTGCTTAGGGCTTCACTAACTTGCTGAGCCTGGCTTTGAACTTGAGATCCCCCTGCCTCAGCCTCCTGAGCTGCTAGGATTATAAGCATGCACCACCACACCCAGCCTTTTTCTGTTTGATAGAACATGGTAGGGGTTACAGGATGTAATTGATTATGTGTATTTGATTACATGACTTAAGACTGTAGCACCCATCTTGTTAGGATATGCTCTCTTTTTCATTGACTTTGAAGAAGCAAGCTGCCATTTTTTGAGCTATCATGTGGGAAGATACAGTTAACAAGAAACTAAGGGTGGCTTCCAACTGGTAGCCAGTGTGAACTCTGAATGCTTCCTTAGTCTGTAAGACTTTAGGAAACCAGATGGAATCATAATCATGTGAGCTTGGAAGCAGATCCTTCTCTAGCCAAGTTTATATGAGAACCCAATCCTGACGCATACCTTGAATGCATTCTTGAAAAGGGCCCAGCTAAGCTGTACCTACAAACCTGATTCCTAGAAATTGTGAGGAAAAGAATGCATCTTGCTTAAGACCCTAGATTTGTGATAACCAATTCAGGTACTTCTTGACCAAAAGCTACCATGATGTATGCTCCAGTTCTAAATGTTTTTCTTTACTACCCAGATGAGTACAAACATGCTTATCAGAACATGCATTCTAATATTTAACTCAGAAAATATGATTTTCATTCCCATGGATAATAGAACTACCTACTCATATTGGATTGGTATCAGGTCTCCAGAATCTCCTCTTCATAGTAGCCTAAGTGAGTTGCAGTTTCTGAGAGCTAATTAGCCCATCTGGTAGTGGTTAGCAACCTATTGTGGAGAGTGGTTAATGAGAATGGGAGCATAGTGACTGAGATGGGGGGTCTCTCATGACCTCATGGCTGTGGCGTGTCCGGTGCCTGGGAAAGTTTCTGTTCATGGGCATAGGATGCCTAGCTGCTATGGTAAAGCCCTGCCTGAGGATGCTCTATGAAGGAGTCTTATGAGCTTCAACCTTGATCTAAGGCACATAACTCCCAGGTATAGAGGAACTCTCATGCTAGACAATCACAATGTTTCTCCAGCTCTGCTACTCCTGAGACTTCTTGCTTAACAGTAACTTTAAACAATAGACCTCCTTGAGCGCTACACAAAGATCCTAACATTGCACATTGCAACTATGGAAAAGCTGCATAGATGTTTTAGTTCTATAACTTTTCTGAGTACAAAGAATAATGCTTGCATAGTCTTTAACCTGATAATAAAGCATATATAAATAAAGATTGCTGGTGTCACTCTTTAGATCTGCTTCTCCATCAGAGAGCAGCACTCCACCTGATCCCAGCTTTATCTTCAAAATCTGTGTGAGTCTTTTATTTTCTAATCCCCCATCGCCCCTCCCAGGGATGTGAATTTGGCCATGCAGGATGCCATGACCTACCACACTTGTGCCAAAGAAGACCCAGAGACAAGGCTGGGCACATTGGGCCCTGATGGTTTGATTAACTGACATTCCAAGAGTGTCCACCTGTAGGACATACAATCAATCAACAAGTACATGAAAAAATGCTCACCATCTCTAGCAGTCAGAGAAATGCAAATCAAAACCACCCTAAGATACCATCTCACTCCAGTAAGATTGGCAGCCATTATGAAGTCAAACAACAACAAGTGCTGGCGAGGATGTGGGGAAAAGGGTACTCTTCTACATTGCTGGTGGGACTGCAAATTGGTGCGGCCAATTTGGAAAGCAGTATGGAGATTCCTGGGAAAGCTGGGAATGGAACCACCATTTGACCCAGCTATTGCCCTTCTCGGACTATTCCCTGAAGACCTTAAAAGAGCGAACTACAGGGATACTACCACATCGATGTTCATAGCAGCACAATTCACAATAGTTAGACTGTGGAACCAACCCAGATGCCCTTCAATAGATGAATGGATAAAAAAAAATGTGGCATTTATACACAATGGAGTATTACGCAGGACTAAAAAATGACAAAATCATGGAATTTGCAGGGAAATGGATGGCACTAGAGCAGATTATGCTAAGTGAAACTAGCCAATCCCTAAAAAACAAATGCCAAATGTCTTCTTTGATATAATGAGAGCAACTAAGAACAGAGCAGGGAGGAAGAGCAGGAGGAAAAGATTAACATTAAACAGAGACATGAGGTGGGAGGGAAAGGGAGAGAAAAGGGAAATTGCATGGAAATGGAAGGAGACCCTCATTGTTATACAAAATTACATATAAGAGGTTGTGAGGGGAATGGGAAAAAAAAACAAGGAGAGAAATGAATTACAGTAGATGGGGTAGAGAGAGAAGATGGGAGGTGAGGGGAGGGGAGGGGGGATAGTAGAGGATAGGAAAGGCAGCAGAATACAACAGACACTAGTATGGCAATATGTAAACCAGTGGATGTGTAACCGATGTGATTCTGCAATCTGTATACGGGGTAAAAATGGGAGTTCATAACCCACTTGAATCAAAGTGTGAAATATGATATGTCAAGAGCTTTGTAATGTTTTGAACAACCAACAATAAAAATTAAAAAAAAAGAAATATGCCTCAAAAATAAAAAAAAAATTTAAAAAAGAGTGTCCACCTGAGGAGTCAGTTCCACTGTGAGACCTTCATTTCTTAAAATTCCTTTTTTTACTTCTTACTGCACAGATCCTCTTCCTAGCACCCCACACCCCAGGATAGTAAAGTGAAAAAAAAAAAGGCAGGCTTTGATGCCACACTGATTTGTGCTCAAATCCTGATTCTGGCACTGCACGCCTAGCAGCCAGGCACAAAACACCCATCCTCCATGAGCCTCGACTTACTCTTCTGCAAAAAGGGCACACCCACCCTTTGGGTTGTCAGGAGTCATCAACAACATAACAATTCCTTCACTACAGCAGCCTCCAAATTGCCCTGAAACACGTCTTTCCTCCATTATCCTCTTCATCAGTCCCCAAACTAATCATGTAGGGGTTCCATCCAGCTTGCTTTTCTTCCAGCCAAGTATTTAAAAATATAAATACAACTGTATTTCAATTTTCTAGTTGATGGAGGTTTCCAACCCACAGAAATTTAGGGGGAACCCTTAAATTCAAATTAAGGATTGCCATTTATGAAATAATGTTATTGAAATAATAATTATTTGAAATAATGTTATTTCAAATTTTACCGTCCCAATTTATTCTTACTTGCCAAACTTCATTCATATCTCTCTCTCGCTCTCTCGCTCTCACTCTATCCAACCCCCCACACACACAGACTTGAAGCTTCTGCTTATAATAATAATAGGTAGCCTCATGTCGCACACCATCCTAGTACTGTATTACTCTCACCATGCAGGTATTACTGTTAGCCTCATGTCAGTAACTTGCCCACACTTGCCAGTTAATATGACAGAACTGGATTCTGAACTCAGGCAATTCCCATGTTATTCTCTGGCACAGTGCCTGGAATATAGGTTTTCAACCCATACCAGTTGTCCTTTTCTACCCATCATCTCCGTTTACACACACCCACGAGCACCTTCATGGCCATGGCCACTAGAGGTCAGGAAAAAGCACTTCATGAGCTCTAACATTCTCTAATAATCTGTGATTAGAGAAAGAACCTAACAAGTGCTTAGAAGAAAATGCTTAGCATCAATCAGGGAAATGCAAATCAAAACATAAGGAGACATCACCTCTCCTCACTTAGAATACTTATTATCAAAAAGACAAAGGATTTTTCTGACAGGAATCCAAAAAAGGGAAACTTTACCACACTTGGTAGGATGTAAATTAATAAAGTCCTTAAAGTTTTCTGAAAAAGTTAAAAATAGAACTACTATGTGATCCAACAATCCCACTACTGGGTGTATATCCACAGGAAATGAAATCATGATATCAGAGAACTACCTGCACTTCTGTGTTTATTGTAGCATTGTTCACAATAGCTAAGAAATGGAATTCACCAAGGTGTCCCTCATTGGATGAGTGAATGAAAGAAATGTGGTACATATACACAATGAAATACTATTCATCTATAAAGAAGGATGAAATCCTGTCAATTGTGGTAATATGAATGGACCTGGAGGACATGATTTTAAATAAAACAAGCAGGTACAGAAGGTCAATAGAAATTTGTGGGGGTGGAGGGGAGATTAACTGTTCGCAGAGGTAACACAGCTTACTCATGTGCAATCTTTAAAAAAGTCATTATCATAGAAGTTCAGAGTAGATTAGTGGTTACAGAAACTGAGTGGAGTAGGGGAGGAAATAGGGAGGTGTTGGTCAATGGGCCCACATTACTGCTGCACAGAAGCCTGAGGTCTGGTGTTCTGTGGCACACTAGGATGCACGTGGCTAAGAGTAAAGCATTACATATCCCAACAACTAGAAAGAGGATT